ATGTGTCACTACGCACGACTGAAATTGTACGTTCATAACCGTAGCAACAGACCCCAGATGAGCCCAGACGCTCTGCGGCTCTTGTTGTGGTAAAAAGGGGTGGTCCAGACCCCCTCGACCCCCCTTCTGGATCCACCCCTGCCCTACAGTAAAACATTTTCACTGTCATGTTCATTCCCTGACGAACAATAGAAACACAACAGCATTCATGAAGAAATTTTGTTCCATCACGTAATATAACATGGTGACAACATTACATGGTATCCTGTGAAAATGAGATGTTATCTTGCACAAATACGATGATTTGTCACGGCCGTATAAAAGACACTAATGAAATAGTTGTTACATACATATCAGTGCAGGAATTATGCTTGAACATGATACTTGTGAGTATTTTTGTAAGTGATTGATTTCTTGAACAGGAATGGGTGACCAAGCAAGAGAAGCTCAGAAGTGAAGAGATTGAGATCACGTACAGCTACTGGGATGGGTCTGGACATAGAAGGAATGTTAGGCAAGCATACACACTCTAATATTATTGTTCTCGATCCAACTTAACTTTAAGTGCCTCATTCCAGATTGTCTGCATCCATCTAAAATCCTTTTAGTTTTTCAGATCTATCAAGGTTATATTTATATTAAATGGTCACTATAAAATCAAAGTAAACTTTTCCATAAGAAACATGCATGTTGTGAACTAGATGTATTTTCATGCTGAGCTTCATTATCAGTGTACTAATGCTGCATAAATTTGTTGAACCAGAATGAAGAAGGGCAACAGCATATCACAGTTTCTGCACCGGTGCTTAGAAAACCTTCGGAAGGAGTTTACAGAACTAAAGTTAGCTACTGTTGATCAGCTCATGTACATCAAGGTAAATACATACTATTGTGACAATCCGATGTGTAGGCCTCACGATGATGTATTAGGTTGAGCATGATTATTATATAATGCATTTTATTTTCATCTTGAAAGTTCTAATGTGTGCTTTAGTGGATCCAATACCTTCACTGTATTGAGCTATCCCCTATTCCAGCCTAGCCATAAGTAACCCATATAGGCAGTCATGTAATGGCATATAGCACTATGGCTAAGTACTTCTTCATTTATCACTCTGTCTAGCTATAGCCATTACATATAATATGATAAGCAATAGATAAGATTGTTTATCCAGCTAGCCATTAAATAGAGTGTGATTAGCAGTGGACATATGTAACAGATAAACTTTATAAGCATGTTGCCTAGTATGCTATGCTTATAGTACATACACATAAAGCTACACATAAAATGGCAATGCATACGTTACATACACATAAAGCTACACATATAGTAGTTATGCATACGGTACATGCACGTGAAGCTACAAATATAGCTAACATATAGTAGCTATGCATACGGTACATGCACGTGAAGCTACACATATAGCTAACATATAGTAGCTATGCATACGGTACATGCACATAAAACTACACATATAGCTACAAA